AAATGCGATCAGGTTTGAAGCACAAATTTGATTAATGATTCGGCAAAAAAAGAAAATGTACGAGGAAATGATATAAAAGATGAGATTCGGGCAAAATTCAAGAGGAAGAGTACGATGGATGCTTTAAGCGGTTTGGAAAGATACTTGCATGATGGGATAGATGAAGGGAGTTCTAATTTTGATGTGTTGGGATGGTGGAAAAACAAGCTTGTAACTTATCGTGCCGTTGCAATTATGGCACGCGATAATCTTTCGGTTCTTATTACATCGGTCGCTTCCGAAAGTGCTTTTAGTTACACAGTCGAGTATTTGATCCGTTTCGTAGCTCATTGACATCAAGACTCGTGGAAGCTTTGGTGTGTGCTCAAGATTGCTTGAGAAGCGACCATTTATTTAATGTTGAAGAAGACCTCAATAACCTCATATCAATAGAAAATAGTATGTGTTAGTCTTTAATTTATAATATTTTTAGTTTATTACAATTGTTTCTAATAAAAAATGTTAATATACTTGCTTATTTTTTTATTGTAGATTTCAATGGATTGAAGGTTAAGGGTTGAGCAAACTTGGAGTAAAATTCTACGTGGATGGTTGTTCGTTTTTTTTTCTTCTTTATACTGGGAGTTCGTGCTATTTAAGACTTGAATCCTTTTTTATGTTGTATTTTGGTTTAAGAAAATGTATGTTATTTTGAAGAATATTTGTTTGGTTTTTTTTTTTCAATTCAGCTTCAGTGTAGGTTTGTAGTTTTTGAAGAATATTAGTTTGAGGATTTTTTTTTTCAATTCAGCTACTGTGTCAATGGTGAACTATTTTATTTTAATTTTTCTTTTTGGAAAAAGTCTGAAAATTCCGGAAAATTCCGAAAAAGTCGGAATCGGAATCGATTCTTGAATTCCGAAAAATCGGAATTGGAATCGGAAAGCATTTTGGACTTTAAAAAAAAATCGGAATTTTTCCAAAACACCCGAATCCGATCCGATCCGTCCGATCTCCACCCCTACTCTAAACTCATCAAACATCTTAAAAGGGTCCAACTCAGGCCATTAGCAGAATTAGAGGGTTCAGTAGCATTTTCATACATTTCAGGCTCATCATCATTCCCCTGGATAACCTACTGGCTCATTTACTTCTGGGAATTGTGCAGAAGACTCACCCAAATATTCATTTTCTGATTCTTCAATGCTTTGATGTCGAACATAAATTGCAACCACCCTTTCCTCATCAAGAAAGTTCACTAAGTTCAATGGATCACTATCACCTTGTAGCATAACTAAATCATCACACCCAACTACATCTTTCAAATCTAACTCCTTGGCCATCTCAGTAATCTCTATTATAGACATTTCATCAACTGAGTAATAATCAACGAAGTAAATATCTCCAGCCAAATAACACCTTCCACTAAGGTTTAGAAACTTGCCGGAATGATACGTTTTGATTGTGAAGTGTTCACTATTAGGACATAGATTATAAAACACAACACCAAATAACTAAGTCAACAACTTTAAAAAAAAATTGATTAAACAATATTTTAAAAAAAATGGCACACAAAGTGGTCCAGAACTTGAAAAAATCAATAGCAGACAAAGACCAAAAATGTGTTGTTTCCATCTACTTTAAATAATTAAAAATCTGGACACTTTACTGTTATACTCTCATTATCGTTTTCGAAGTAAACTCGACAACAACTAACATAAAAAAAAATGGTTCTTTCCAAAAGTTATAATAAAACATGGAAATCAATAAATCAAACATCATACCATAATATGGAACACTATTACTGGCTTCTCACAACCTCCAAACCATCTTGCACTTCAATAGTTGACAGAAATTGGCCGAATTTCGTAGAGATGAAAAAGCCTAAATATTCGTAAAGGGGAAAAATAAAACTGATGTGATTGAATAATGAAGGTGAAGAAGAAACGGGAGACAGAAGGGGGTGAGGAGGAAAATACTAATTTACCCCAGTTATATTCACGTGCAACGCACGTGATTTGGATTCCATTCAAAATTAGCCAAAAATGGACAATTTCATAGTCGGTGCTAAAAATAATAAAGTTCAGGTATGCCTGTGCCACTTTTTTCGTTCATGGAGTAAAGCGCAAAACTTCCAAAGTTTAAGAGATTTTTTGCGGTGTACCCTTTTTTTTTTATATTTAGGTAACATAAGAAATAAGAATCCAAACTTCCGCCGATTTCTATTCAATTTTTTTTTTTTTAATATTTAGATGTTTTTCCTAAACAACTTTTTTCATTCCATTCCAATTTTTGAATTTGATGTTTTATTTAAAATTTTCTGATTTTCTTATTAATGGAATTAATCTTATTTTTTCACTTTTAAAAGAAATTCGAATTTTCGTAAAAGTGTTAACTCTAACTCTATCAGTTTGATCTCCACAATCATATGCGGTTATAGAAATATAGAAAAACATAAAACCATGTATTAGAGTTTGTACGTTAATGATGTTCAATTATGGCTCAAGCCCATCGGCCCGCCCGCAACCCGTCGATCTGCCCATCCAAGCCCTCATGCTTAGGAGTGGTTTTTCTTTTTACCATATTGCCCTATCTTGCCGTATCAACCTGCTGCTCTATCGAACCACACCAATTATCTACCGAATTATTATCTTACGATACCATTTCGTACCGAAATGTATTTTGGTAAGACAATAGTACTCCATATAATTATAATGGTATTATCCTACAGTGCTGAAGTATTATTAAGAAAATACAAATTTATTTTAATAATTAATTTGTTTTATATAAAGAGTGAAGTTAGTATAGGAATTAGTAACTATTATTAGTGTACTTTTTATGCATGTCAAAAAAAATATTTTGCAGGCTTCCATTACTAATGATGAAATATTTTGTATTAGGTAAGTTAAGAACGTATAGTTAGAATAATTATATTTTAAATACCAGTTTTGAGCATTTTAAAGTATATTTTTTTGATTGTTGATATTCAATTTTAACTCAAATAATAAATAACATAAATTGCTAGTTACCATTATCGTACCGTACCGGATTTTTGGCATACCGAATTCCAGTATATCAAATTTTTTGATAGTGCCATAATAGTGAATTTTATAATACCGAAACTTTGGTAATGGTAGTGATTCAATGAATTTGGTAGATTGTCCTACCAAACCCAACCTCTCATTTGTGCCCAAGCTCGCTTAACCCAACTCCAGCCCATAGCCCAAACCCGCTCAACCCAACCTAGCCCAAGGACGCGCTGCACCAAAAATATTTGCTTTCCACTAGTGGCCTGCCCGTGGCAATTGGGTCACCTGTTTGATCCGTTGGTTTCTTTCTTTTTTTAATTGTGTTACAAATTGACCGTTTTGCCACCATATAGTGTCGGCTTTTAATCACTTGGGGGGGCAAAATTATCATTTTCACACCCAAAAATTGTTATTTACGAAATCATGATTATTTCCTCTCTGAACAGTGTTTTGGGATGTACTTTTTTTTTTAAAACAAATCTATAATAAATACCTAAATAGAGTAAGGATTAAACGCCTCAGACTTGTTTTATTGAGGGGTTGAGAACTATATTGTGAATTCATATTATAATTGAAATAATCGTATAGATCCAGAACATTACTGTAAAGTGAAAGTGAATTGGCGATTTCTTACATCAATATAGGACTACTATTATAGTAGATCAAAATATAAAATTGTGTGGTAATAAACTTCCAACGAACATTTTATTGCGAGTGGTGCAAATTTAATTATTTATTGCGTATCTTATCATCTGTGGGCATTATTCAAAAAAAAAATGTAAAATAAATATATAAAAGATTCGACACGATTGACCAACGGCCAAAATCAGAGTAAAAATGGGCTATGAGTCCAAATTGATGAAATTAGAATTAAATTTCGGCTTAAAATCATAAATTGGATGTTTAATTTATAAAAAGGCATTATTTATGGTACTTTCTCAAAAACAAATGTAAAATAAATGAATAAAAGATTCAACACGATTGACCAACGCCAAAACCAGAGTAAAAAAAAATGGGTTATGAGGCAAAATTGGTAAAATTAGAATTAAGTTTGCAGCTTAAAATCATAAACTGAGTATGTTTAATTTATAAAAAGAAGTATGTTTAAAGGTTTTTTTTTTTTTTTTTTTTTTTTTTGAGAAAGAAGTATGTTTAAAGGTTTGAGTTAATTTTATCATAAATATTAGTGTCCATTTTTTTCTTAGAGTGTCTTTCTTAGTAATACCGTAGAAGGGATGAAGTTACCGTGTGAAACTAAATGCTTAGCTAAGAAACTTCCACGTAATTAGACATATATTCAAAGTCATAACTCACATGTCACACATGCCTATTCTACCCGGACTTTAGTACATAATACCAAAATCGAAAACATAAAAAGAAAAAAAAAAAAAAAAAAAACAAATACTGTAGTAAAGAAACAATAACTCGTTTTTCCCCAAAACAAATTATGATATTCTTTTAACACACCTTCTCTCCATTAGATATGTCTCAAGACAGCCTCTCCTGAACGTGTGTTGCGAAAAAAAAATGAAAAAGAAAAAAACCGAGAGCCCTGTTCTTTTTTTTTTAATGCCAAGTAGCTCGTCATACTATAGTCATGCACCCGAAGCCAACAAAACCCGGCTTAAAAGAAAAAAAATGATAACAGATCCGATCATGTTTTACCCAACCGGTTCAAATCAATACCCGATTGCCCACGTAAATATAACTACAAGAACCATCTAAGCTCACTGTACCATTTATCTATTTATTCACATTGGCATTTTATATACACTGCCTACTACTACAAAAAATCTCAAGATGCCCATCAAGAATTCTACGGCAAAAGCAGTACTTCGTTTATCTCCCTACTGGTATTCAAACACCCATCGAAAACAAAACATATGCATGTAACATTTTACGTATCCCGTCATACTAATCGAACAGTTTATTAATACCAACCACTGACAGCTAGAACATCCACCTAACGAGAACAAGTGTAAGCAGACAATTTCAACACGTCACAACTTCATTAAAAATTACAAAAATTAATTAAACATATACACCGTTGTTCCAGTGCTAATAAATTGTACAATAAAATAGATACGGAAACTACGAAGTTCAAACTACATCAGGCAGCCTACAAGAAAGAGTATTGTAGCAAACTCTACAAATCCTATCTGCCTAAATGCTAATCATTAGCATCAGCTTTCCAAATTTTTCACCAAATAAAACCTATCTACCAATTAAAAACATATTACATCTGTTACATAGTTCGATCGATACTGTGAAAAAACAAACCGAAAAAAAAAAGAAGAGGAAACTTAACCAAGACTCCATATTTCCAGCAGTAATTCTTGCACCAACCGATAAGTGGGAGACTAATAAACCTGAATATAGTCGAAGCAAATAATAGTTTACATTATTGATTCCTCCATCTTGGACTGGGTAGTAGAGGGAAAAACCCTGAAGGAGACAACGGGAATCCGTAACCCGGGGAGGGAGGTCCGGGGCCTAAAATACCAGACTGGCCCACGGAAGAAAACGAGAAATTAGGCGAAATAGGCGGAGGGTTATGATACCCTGGAGAAAGCAACGGATAAGGCGATCTAGGAGACAACATGTTGTAGAAGCCATTAGGCGAAGGTAAAAGGAACTGCGAAGTTGGGGAGGGTAAAAGGGAAGGGGGGCCATTAGTCCTAGGCGAAGGGAGTGGAGGGGGCGGCGGGGGGCCGTTCATACGAGGGGATGCAAGAAGGGGCGGCGGCCCCCCGAATCTTGGAGATGGAAACGGGGGCATGGCTGGATTGGGGAGTAAGTGGTTTTGAGGTTGGTTTAGAGGTTGTCGAGGGCCTGTATCTATGATTGAATTCTGAAGGTAGCGCATGTAAGCGGAAATCGGCGACTCGGTAGTGTTCGACCACACATCGGTAGGTGTTGGTGGTAATAACATATTTGGCGAATGTTGGTCGAAATGGTTAGGATTCGGCGGTCTCGTGAAGGTGTTTGGATAAGGGGGGTGTGGTTGTTGAGGCATTTGATTGGGCATATGATGTTGATGAACGGGGATATGGGGTCGGCTAGTGGGGGTTAAAGGAGGGGGCCGAACTCTGAGTAACCTATTGTTGGGGGGTTTTGGGTGGTTTTGGGGAGGGGGGCGAGGAGGTGGGTCCCGCAACGGCGAACCGGTTAGCTGCTGAACTATGTTCCGGAAATCGTTCTTGTTAATGTTGTAGACTTGGGGTTGAGGCTGCTGCCTAGCTGGGGAAGTGAAGTTGGGCTGATGGAGGGGGCTTTTCTTGATGTTTTTGCCCATCTTGTTTATACCGAGGTGATCGGACTGTCTATTCATATGTGGATGATTCGAATCCATTTTTTTTTCGAGAAATTAGCTCCTCCAATTTCAGACAATTTCAGACACAGAATACAAAAATCAAAACTTGCTTCTTCTTCTTCACCGAAAAATGAAATTTCCGGCAATTTTCAGATCCCGAAACCGCAATAATCGAGCAGAGTATTCATAGCAAACACAAAACCAAAATTGAACACTTGAATCGAAAAAATCGATCCTTTCACCGACAAAAAAACAAAACCCCAAGTGCTGATTGCTTCCCTCAAACCAAAATTAAACCTCCGAAAACCTAGAAATCACCCTAATTTTTTTCCCAATTCCCAATATCAGAGCGATTAACATACATACATGTGCAGAAAAAAAAAATTCAGAAGAGCAAAAGCAAAACGATTGCGGAAAATAAGAAAGGGGAGAGGAAATTTACTCAGCCAGTTACGTTTGAAAGACTCTTGAATTCGGGTGGGGATGGAGAAGAAGCAGCACCGAGCTGTAAACCTAAAGCGTGAAATTGGTAAAGTTTCGTTTGGTCAAGGAATGGGAAATGGGGCAAAATGAAATGATAACAACATTTACTTGAGAGAAATATTAATTATTATAAAGTATTGGGCTAGTGGCGGAAGCAAGTGGGCCACCCACCTTGTTTGGAATATTTATCTATCGCCACCGTATCCACAGTTATGCACAAAGAGGGATCAATGTACAAACTTTGATGCGGAATGTACAAAACTTTGTGGAGGCCGGAAAATCAGGGCAGATGTAATTTGTACGTATTTAAGAAGGAACGTTCTAAATGGTAACGGATCGTGTGCTTGATTAGGTTACCTTGACCCAAAATTTAATTCAAAAAAAGAAAAAAAGTCGTGTTTATCTAATTTGTTTAAGTAGAATCACAAATTGATCGGTTATAAGAGTACTTAATTAAAGAAAATGACATTTAATTTTTTTTTTCTTACAAATAAATACATATCATTCAAATTTATTTAGAAATAAAGAAAATCATGTTATTTATACTAAAATTACCCCAAAGTCCTTGAAACCCTAATTGAACTTCAATTTTATGACTTACACCCAAGTTTAACCCAATTTTACAAATTAACCAATTTTGACCCTTATTCGAATTTTGACCGCCACCCCAGAGACCGCCGGTCAGCCGCCGTTGACTTTTTTCTTTTTCTCTTAAACATTTTATTCTGACTTTTTTTTTCAGCAGGTCAACTGACAGTCTCTGGTGTTGATCATTTTTTCTTTAACTTTTTTTATTTCTGAATTTTTTTTTCTGGCAGGTCAACTGTCGGTCTTCGGCGATGATTTTTTTTTTAAAACTTGTTTTTTTTTTTTAAAATATATTTTAATTAATATTACTGTCTTGGTCTGCTATATTACTGTCACCGAGAATGTTACTGACGTAGATAGTAATTTAATTGGCTGAGACAGTAATTTTACTGTATCAATTATTTTATCGTCTTGGCCTGCAATTTTGATGCCTTCGATCGTAACATTTCTGTCTTCGACTGTAATATTACTGTCTCATGCAATAATATCACCGTTTGGGACAGTAATATAAGTAATATTGTTGTTCGGGAAAGTAATATTCATAATATTAGTGTTCGAGACAGTAATATTAATGTTTGGGACAGTAATATTAATAATATTATTGTTTGGACAGTAATATTAGTAATATTACTGTTTTGGAATTCAATATTACTATCTCAAACAATAATTTTGTTGTTAACACAGTAATTTATAAAGAAAAAAATTCAACGTCGGAGAACCACAATCAACACCGGAATCTGGCCAGGAAAAACAGTCTTGTAAATAAACACATCCCCATGTCTTCTGTTTAAAATGCCCTCATTAATATAATTTTCATCAATTCCATCAATTATACTCTAACTTTATCAGTATTGCATATTGACCCCAGATTTAAACAAATATATTACATTAACCCACATTTTCATATTTAAAAAAAAAAATCAAAAAAATAATTTTTTTTCTATAATTTTTTTCCCGGCCAGATCTCTGGTTTCTTTTTCCTCGATCAGAAGATGAAGAGCAAGAGTCGTCGGCGCCTTTAGAACAATGCTCCTCTTTTTCTTTGAGAGGTCGCGGAGGGAGAAATTAGGGAGGACGAAGGAGATGAGGAGCGGGACTTATATTGCGTCGTTCCTTTTGAGGATGAACAGACAGCGGCTGCAAGTGGTGATAGCGGCCTTGTGGGAGGGGTGATGGTCGATTTTGGAGGGGGGCGTGGTGAAGCGAACGACGTTGATGGTGTGGGGACGGTGATGGTGTGGTGTGGCGACGGTGTGGTATATTGCTTACCGAGATGATGCATATTGAAAATATTCTGGTACATATTGTTGGATTTACATTTTTAGAATAGCTTTAATATCACTTAGTTGTATTTACTGTATTTGTCCCTATATATATTTCATATGCTTATTGGTAGTATGAAGTGCAATATATATTAGCCCCAATATAATAGCATTTTAGTGAATTTACTTGGTAGATGTTTAACTTTTTTTCTTCTTCAAGAAATGGCCTATTATTCAAAGAAATAAGTTCTTTTTTGCCATTTTATTACTGCATAATCATAGTGTATTTGTACGTGTACTCAATTTAAATGTACGTATACACACTACTAGAAAATAAGATTTTAATGACGTTGTAATGACACCTTACTGTGACGGGCTCTAAAAAATGCCACAATAGATATTCTATTGAGACGCTTTTAGACAAAAGAGCGTTAGTACGTTCGGATGCCTATATTTCTTTTTCTTCTTAATTTTTTAAAATCATATTTCATGATGCTTTTGAATTAACCGTCATAATATATTTTTTTTTATTAAGACAATGTTATTGTTCAGCGTCACAACACAAAATTTTAAACTTAACTTAAATAACAATTCATTAAAAACAATATAATGGGCCTTTCTAGGGTCTCATTGGCCGCCACTTGTCCAAAAACAAGTGAATATTTTAAGTTTCATTGTGTATCGACATAAATGTCATTATTTTAGATTTCATAATAAAAAAACAAAAAGTAGTAATATTTATTGAAATGTTTTTATTCCTTAGTATTTTCTTTTACAAATTTTAAAGGGAGCATCGGATTTGGCCCAGACCCGACGACCGCCCCATTGACCGTTGACCCGAACCCATACCGACTGGTCAACCCGTTGGACCCGGCCCAAGGACCCAACCTAGGGACCCATATTTCATTCGTCAGTTTTTGACCAAAGAATCTTCAATTAAGGGTCGAACTTGGGCTAATACAAGGGAACGGTAGTACCAACCACTGGGACAAGTGATCAATTGAAATATGTATTTGTATTTGGTTAGACAGGTTAATAACGATCATAAATTAATTTGTTAAAAACCTGATTAGTCATCTACTTAATGGTAGTGTGAAGCCTCTTAATTCATTAGTTTGGTGATTTATGTTCTGCATTCACTTAATTGTTCATGTATTTTCTATGTACATGTTTGCAGGAGACGAAACGACAGAGGTGTTTTAGGGTGGATGGGTTTTCGTTTTATGAAAAATGGTAATTGGCGTTTGAAGAGGAACAGCCTCCGATGATTAACTTCCGAGAGCTTATAGATTTAAATATAAGTATCCTTTGAAAATAGATGATAAGATGATGAAATCGGTGATAATGTAGATGACGTGGATGAACAACCGGGCCAAGGAAAAAATGGCAACTTTAGATTACAGCGTCTATTTGGACTATCTTCATCGTCAATTTCCTAATATTGTTGTCGATAATGTTAACACACCAATTCCAACGACAATGTCCACAATGGCAATGCTACCGCCAATGCAAATGCTGATGAAAGTAGTGATGTTCGAGAGATGATCAAGTGTCAATGGATCCATTATTTTGGATTGAATTGTTTAAATGAACTTTTGCATATGCTTGTAGACTGTTGGTATTTAAGAATTGCACGTCATTTGGCAAGGAACTACGTTCCCAATTTTCAATTAAAGATATGAATTTATGTGTTTCAATGAATTTTTCATTTTCCAGTTTTAATCGAATATATATATATATATATATATATATATATATATATATATATATATATATATATATATATATATATATATATATATATATATATATATATATATATATATATATATATATATATATATATATATATATATATATATATATATATATATGGGGGGGTATATATAGAGAGAGAGAGGGGGGAGGGCGCGCGCGCGCGAGCGCGAGCGAGAGTGAGTGTGCGTGTGTGTGTGTACGTGCGCGTGTGTGTGTATGTGCGAGTGTGAGCGCGCGCGCGCGCGCGCGCGCGCGCGCG